GGGCCGTATGAACTTTGTCTATCTACTAAAATGTTATATGTTTGAAACGTTTGAAATATTTCTGAAACACTTCTAAAATAATGTGTGCTGTATGGGTAAACACATGCTTTTGGATAATTCGAGAAGCGCTTGGCGGTTGTAAAAGGTTTTGTAAAGGTCACATGGCTGTATTCCTACTAAAATTATTTTTTATTCCAGCTGTGGACTATATTAGTTTTTTTTTGAAACAAATGTTCTGAAAGTTGTGGAACGACTTATCGGTTACTTAGTACATATGCTGCGTTTGAGAATCCACATCGGATGCATCTGAGATGTAAAAAATCTTTGATCACGTGATGCAGTATACGTAAATGTAATGGGACAGGACGTGTCCGATGTGGATAAAAAAACGCTCGAGATGTAAAAAATGCATCCGATGTGGATTCTCAAACGCAGCATTTGTACCTTCTTGTCTACATTTACTAATATACCGCTTGGTGTATTAAGCAGTTATTTTGGAGACAGTTCAACCCAAAATCTTTGTTTTCGAAGATTAACTTGCAATTGGCTAAGTTTATGAAGTAGAGCCGCTCATGGTTCACCAACACTTCCATATCGTTGAAGTGAGATTCAACTGAATATAATCAACATATATTTACCACTAGTAAAGTTGATTTGTGGGGTGTGTCACTTAAAACATACTTTGGTGACTTAACATGACTTACCTCCAAGTAAAATAAGATAATTTGTATGTCACACAATTTTATAAATTATTCTAAAATAATTAAGTACCCAATGGACATTGTTTGATTTAAAAAAAGCAGGATCGTTTTTTCACTATTTATTAAGCAAGAAATACAGAAAAAAGTAAAATGTTTCACAAAGACGAAAAAAGTTTATTCATCTTTAATATTATCTAGGTGCGTTATATTATTATAAAATGGATGAAAAACACGTGGAACCCATTGCAATAACTTCTGCAAATGTTGGAATTTCTTGGAACTTATTGGCTTTGAAGTTTTCCGAACTAAAAGGAACTTTGTTAGGGAATTCTGCTCTACGTGAACTTCGATTAAAATCTATTTTGGTAAATTCAGCAGAAGCAAAATCGGTTTTAAAATACAATACGCTCATATCATCTGCTCTGACTTGCATGTGTTACTACTTCTGATATTTTAAAATCTTCATTATTGCTTGTCTTTTTCCTTGAAACAAAGGGAGCCGTCGTGCTTTCCATCAATAATATGAAATTTTTGAAGTCATCGATGTCCATGTTTATTACAGTGAAGGTTATTGGAGCGGCTGGCATTCTGACTAACTGCTGCCAGTCCCACGGTGTCATAATTTTAAACTGTGGCACTTTCTTTTTCTCTCGTTTCTATAATAGAATGATCGCAATCGACCTCAAGATGTGCCTCTTAGCAAATACTTATGGTTTATAATCTTTAATGTGGGAATACTTTTTAAAATAAAAAAATATGCAAGTACAGCGTTAATGTTGCGATTTGAGAGACGCAGTTATCGACCATATAGTCAAAACCTCTGTATCATTGGAAACGTTAGTTAAGGCCCACTTTAGCAAACATGACGCCATCTCATTTCCACCACGGCACCTACAGTTTCGTCCCACATGCAGCAATACGTCTTATTTCTTGTGGAGTCGCGAATGGTGTAATTAAAAGTCACAACTTGAGGGAATAAAAGCTCTGAGCGTTTGTCAATACCGGCGTAGGCAAACATTTTTCTAGGTCCTACCATGATAACTTTTGTATTGTGACAAACTCTTGCATTATTTTTGTCCTCCTTTTTAAATTAGTACCGTTCTTTTGCGCTCTGAAGATGCTGATCATATTCTTATTGTATGATTAGCCTTTGGCTAATGTCAGAATCTTGTAACTTTATTAAGAATTCGTCACAAACATCACAGGTGTCGTTGTCTGGTAGCTTAAACCCGTAGTTAAATTCCGTGTTGAAAATCTGTTCATATAGCCACTTTTTGGCTACAAGTTCTTCGGGAATCTTATTCTCAGTGCACTCCTGTTTATACAACTCAAACATGCGAGTAATGTTAAGATCATTCCCAAGGTATTTTTTACGGCTTCTTTCACGACTGTAATGACTCTCAAACTACAGGAAATTTGCAGATATGGGTCCTTACGTCATCTCTCATTCTATCGTCAAGTTTATTTGGTGGAATTTTTTTTCCTCTTTTGTCTTCCGATACTACACCGCCACAAAGTTTTTTGGATAAAGCTACATTTATAAAACTTTGAGATATATCTAGTGTATGCAAAAAAAATGTCTTGCACACTCGAATCTTCTCATTTTCAATAGAAAAAAAAATACTGATTTGTTGTATTCCTTGCTTTTTCGCCTGTTCGACTTCTTCTCTTTTGTACATTCGATGTTTCAATCGAAGACGCTACAAATTGCCGTTTTTGATTGATGTCTCTACTGAAAGACCAAAACTCTTTAAAAATAGTGTTACGAGTGTCAGATGAAATTTTCTGAAAACATTTTCGTGGGCACGTTTCTTGGCATGGTGGTCGTATTTTTCGTGCTCTAACTTTGACGTTTTTCTTTGAGATATACTCCTCTCCAGAATACCGTTTCATCTTTCTAATATTACACTTCCAGTTTAACGTATTTCTAGTACGCTTTCTTAATTTTTTTACTGCCTCATTATTTTCGGTTTGATGTTCTCCACCTTGCTTATCTGCACGATTTTCTTCCGCTTCTTCCGTATTTTATTCTTTCTCTTCTTCTTCTGCGCTACTTTTTGATTCAGATCCCTCTGAGCTTTCTTCATTGCTGTAACTTGGATCCTTGAAGAAGTCGTCTGAATCTAAGTCAAAAAGAGGTCTAGAATTTTTATACGATGACGTTGTGACACGTTGAGCAAGCAATTCATCTGTATTATTTGTTTGTGGTAATTCCAAACAGTTTTTTACATTGTTACTTTCTACGCTCTCAAAAGTATTTGCAAGTGGAGTCAATTCTTTTGTTGAGCAATTCTCATTAGAAGTAGTGAAACCCGCAGGGTCTTCAGCAAGTGACTGATCAGATTTATCGAATGGCACTGACGTATTGGGTACAAATACATTTTTATTATAAATTTCTTGTTGGGCTTCTAAATAGTGTATTGTGTAACTGCTACCTTGAACAATAGCGGGGTTTTCAAGCGAGGTTGATACATTTGGCGAGCGATCTTGATTAATCAAATCAGACTTATCTGATGGTGTAGGCATCTGAGGCACTGGTGAACTTATGTTTCCTTTTAGAGGCTCAACATGGATTATTTTGTTTGTACCATCAAACGACATATTTTTAGGTGAAGCCATTTCATTTTCTTGCTGAATGGGGTATGAAGTAGCATGAGCTGGAAGTGACAAAAATTTTGTCATTAGGGATAATTTATACGCACATAGAATTCTTATCTTTAACATTTTTTGGATCTCATGTGGTTCTCAGTATACTTTAATTTGGTCACCTTACGTAGACCACCCTGAAAAGGGTATCCAACTTATCGGCTTAACATGGGGTAACTATCGGTAACTACCAGAGACTGGTTAAATTGCAAAACAAAAAATTTGAATTTTGGAATTTATGCATTAGCACGTTCAAATACCTACACGCAAGTAAAAAATGTTGAACGCATTTTTAAAAATTAATAAAATTGCCGTTTTTTCAACATTAAAACTTTCATGCCTTGAAGTACAAATGTAGGGATTTTTTTTTAAATATTCAATGGCTGAAAATTGGTTTTAAAACACATTTTTGCTAAACCGATTTAAATTAATAAACACTTGCCATGCAATATATCTGCTCGCAAACAACCCGCTTTGAGCAATCTATATAAATATATCGGGTCGGTGGTGTAACAGTCTAACGCGCTTATATACAGTTTCGAATCCTAGGCCATACCGTGTGGATTTTTAATTAAATTGCATGGTTTGGTATAGGATTTGATGTATGCCGTATTAATAGAAATTCAATTTCTGTTGATATGACATGCATATTATAAAATCGCCATGCATTACCGTCTCGATGATGGTGGGTGAGCTTTTCCGGGTTTTCCTCACCTGTAAGTTAAACGGCACCATCAATCATCTTTAAGTCGCCCCGGAGCGCCACGGCAAATAATAATAATAGCCGTCCCTTTCCCCGCACAAGCTCAGCTTTTGGGGTTAAAATTCTCTCGTAAGGGGGTCAATTAGGGAGAGTATTATTATTATTATTATTATTATTATTATTATTATTATTATTATTATTATTATTATTATTATTATTATTATTATTATTATTATTATTATTATTATTATTATTATTATTATTATTATTATTATTATTATTATTATTATTATTATTATTATTATTATTATTATTATTATTATTATTATTATTATTATTATTATTATTATTATTATTATTATTATTATTATTATTATTATTATTATTATTATTATTATTATTATTATTATTATTATTATTATTATTATTATTATTATTATTATTATTATTATTATTATTATTATTATTATTATTATTATTATTATTATTATTATATATGTATCATTGACCCTGTTAATGACAACATGCCCACAGGGTTGCCATATATAAACTGTCAGATCCCACTGGTAGCCATTTGGACAGGTTGTTGGAATGCCTAATTTAGAATCCTGTCTAGTTATCACCGACATGACATGACGCGTATCTGTCTGTCGGTCACGGCTTACTTTAGAAATAGGTTTTGTGGTTCACACATGATTCCCATTTTAGGTTCTTTCGTTCGTCCCACTGGTGTAGGAATGAAGTACACCAACGCATACCATAGCTTTCGTTTGGCCCGGTGTAAAATCCACTGTCGGCGATGTGGTGTCCACTGGTGGATATTTTCTCTACCAGCTATTTAGCAGGAGTGAATTACACTCGACTTGTGTATCAGGAATAAGGAGGAAGTAGACTAGGTAAATAAGGTGGTGTAACTGGTGTAATTTACACTGGTGGACACTGCACCAACAGCGAACGATAGAACCTTTAATTTGGCATGCACCACTATAGAGACCGTGACGTTAGAACTTTATTAACAGAAGCAAATCAAATATTTTTTTATTTAAAAATTACAAAATAAATAACATTAAGAATATTATTTTTTCTTCTTTTTGAGTATATTCTTTTCATTACCATTGTTTTTAGTGTATTTCACTGCAAAAACTTCATCTCCGTAAGATTTAAAATGGATATTTCTAAAAACTGCAGCGGCCACAAACACAATCAACGAAATCACCGCGATGTATTCAACTCTATTTTCGAATTTGACTCCGCACGTTGTGTACCAAATTGATCCGTCAGATGGTACTTTGTTCAAACAACTGAAATCGAAATATTTTTCATCGTAGTCGGTTGGACAGAGATATTTTCTTTTCCTTAAAGTCTGAAAAAGAAAAATTGTAATAAATTATACAAATACCTAGTTATACCTGTAGTGATAAAAATAAAACAATCATAGGGCGATTCAAAAATTGGTTTTAATTACAATTAAAAAATCAAAAATATTTCGTATTTAAGTGTCCGAAATGCAAGATCGTCAAAAAAATTAGACTAACTATAGTGCGAGACACACTGAAAATGCATTGTAAATTCTTAAGGTAGCACACGGATTTCTTCTATAAAAAGTGATATTTCCTCCTTAGAAACTAAAGTTTCTTTTGACATCTCTTCTTTAGATAATAAAGTTTCTTCAGAGGTTTCTTCTATAAAAAGTGATATTTCTTCCTGAGATAGAAAAGTTTCTTCCTTAGAAGAAAAGGTGTCTTCTGACATATCTTCTTTAAAAATCATAATTACTTTCGACTTGGAAAACAAAATGTCTTCTCTAAAAAATGAAATCTCTGTTGATGTGAAAAACAAGATGTCTTCTATTGAGGAGAAAATAAAACAGATGGAAAAGAAGATAGAAGAACTGGAACATCGGGCACGGTGGTGTAGCGGTCTATCGCGCTTATATTCATTTATAGGCAAGTTTATGAGTCTGAGACTGCTGGGTTTCGAATCCCAGACCAGACCATGTGGATTTTTAATTAAATTGCATGGTTCGGTTTAGGATTTGATGTGTGGCGTATTAATAGAAATTCAATTTCTGTTGATATGACATGCAGATTAAAAAAATTCGCCATACATTACCGTCTCGATGATGGTGGGTGAGGTTTTCCGGGTTTTCCTCACCTGTAAGTCAAATGGCACCATCAATCATCTTTAAGTCGCCCCGGAGCGCCACGGCAAATAATAATAATAATAGCCGTCCCTTTCCCCGGACAAGCTCAGCTTTTGGGGTTAAAATTCACTCGTAAGGGGGTGAATTAGGGAGAGTATTATTATTATTATTATTATTATTATTATTATTATTATTATTATTATTATTATTATTATTATTATTATTATTATTATTATTATTATTATTATTATTATTATTATTATTATTATTATTATTATTATTATTATTATTATTATTATTATTATTATTATTATTATTATTATTATTATTATTATACAGAACCGGCCAAGGACGGTGAAATAAAGTGCTATGAGGTGGAGTCAAAGTTGAAATTGGAAGGAGCTGTAAATTCTGCTCGTGTTAAAGCCCCAACTTTCGACGGAAAGATGTCATGGACGAACTACCTTAAACAGTTCGAAACAGCTGCCAGAGTAAACGAATGTTCTGAACGAAAGAATGAATTAAATTTGACCATCGCTCTTCGAGGAAATGCTTTAGATGTTCTTCAGACTATACCCGTGGAAGAGACAGATGCCTTCATGAATTCGAATTAGATATTGAGAAGATGGTGCGATTTGCCTACCCATCACCTCCGGAATACATGATTGAATGTTTGTCATTTGTAGATGGACTTCGTGACCATGAAATGCAAAGAACACTTCGTTTAGCCCGTCACAAAACATTGGTCGGTGTCTTGTCAGCTGCTCTTGAATATGAAGCGGCTACGCTGGCTTCTGGTGGATACAGTGAAGTAAGGACTGTAAAAAAAGAAGAACAGGGAAATAAATTGGACCAATTGTTTTACATGAAAACCCTTATTGAGAAGCAACCAAAGACTATTAGGTTCGCGCAAACACCCTAGGAAAACTACAGGAAGGAACGGTGTTGCCTGAAAGTAGTGAAACCTTAAGAGTGAGGCGGTTGCAAGGAACTGTAGAGAAAACAACGCCTGTTATGGTGGAACCTTCGAAGTGCAATGAAGGTGTTGGCCAAGGAACTCTGATTGGAAAGGGGTTGGCCACAGCTGCTAAAGAAGTTACAGTACGAAGAAAGTCGGTTGTCAAACTTAGGGAAGAACAAGAAAACGATTCCGTTTTAAAAAAGATAAAAGAATGGAAAGTGGAGAATCGTCACGACCTACTTGTCAAGAAGTATCGAAACTCTCCAGTAATTAAATCATATTGGGCTCAGTGGGACTTAAAAATGATGATGGTTCCGAGAACAGAAGACAAGGAGTAGAGTAGCCGAAGTACAGTTTCAATGATGTAAAGAACTGGTGCAAGAAATGTACCAGCTGTGCTATAAGCAATTGACCTCAGCAAAAAAGGACGGCTCCCATGAAGCAATACAACGTTGGTAGCCCATTTGAGAGGATCGACTTGAATATTGCTGAACCATTCCCCATGACCGAGAATGGTTATAAATTCATGATTGTGGTTATAGATTATTTCACGAAGTAGGTGGAAGTCTACGACATTCCAAATCAAGAGGCCGCAACTGTTGCAGATGCATTGATAAAAGAGTTTATCTGTCGATTTGGAGTGCCCTTGGAGATCCACAGTGAATAAAGCAGAAATTTTGAAAGTCAATTCTTCCGTGCAATCTGTGAGAGACTAGGCATGAAGAAAACCAGAACCATAGTATTGCACCCACAATCCGACTTAATGGTAGAGCGAATGAATAAGACCATTAGAAAATATCTGTCAAAAGTGGTTTCAAACCATCAGCGAGATTGGGATCAGTATCTTTCGCTCTTTGCAATGGCTTATAGATCCGCTGTCAATGAATCAACAGGCCAAACACCAGCAAAGGTCCTGTTTGGGCGTGAGAGGAGACTACCGTGCGACCTCGAGTTTGGATTCCGACCTGGAGAAGATGTAGCTGATGAAGATTATGTGATCCAGTTACGAAGAAAAATGGACGATATGCATGAATTGATCCGCCCGCATCTTCAAATCGCCAGCGACAGAATGAAGAAGCGATACGATACCCAAGCCACAGAAGGATGTTTCAAGGAAGGCGACAAAGTCTGGCTCCATAACCCAAAAAGACAAAAGGGTTATTTTCCGAAGCTACAAAGGTCTTGGGAAGGTCCGTACCTCATCAAGAAAAAAATCGGTGATGTCATTTACCGTATAAGTAAGATCCCGAACGGTAAACCAAAGGTAGTGCACCAAAACCGGCTGGCGCCATTTGAGGGTCACCATGAAGCGGAAGAAGAAGTAAACCAGCTCCAAGAAACGCCTGACCTTGTCGTTGAAGAATTTATGGGTGCATATGGAGGTACCGGAAAAGCAAGATATGGTGTTACAACCGAGCAACAACAAGACCTGCTCACGGTTCCTAAAGATTACTCGCTGGTCCGTAGTACTTCCGCCAACATCTAATAATATTATTGGATCTCTCAACTTAATTGTAAATCTAAAGCTACATTTTTAATGAAACAGGCCTCATTTATTCCCGAACTTAAAGCAACACATTCTGCTTCACATGAAGATAGAGCTACATTCGTTGTTTTCTAGAGTACCATGATATTATATTGTCAAATAAAGTTATAACATAACCAAAAGTGGACTTTCGGTCTCTTACATCAACTGCCAAATCGGCATCGACAAACCTTTTTAAGTTAGTGACAATTCTAATGTATCATTTATAAGATTCTTTTAAGAGCCTAGTATAATGTGCCTGCGATTGTTGTAGGAAACGTACGAATTAAAGAAGAAGTGCAATGTCACCCATCACCCTACAGTGTGCTGTGGTTGCCATAAGTAAAACTACGAATACAAGAAGAAGAGAAAACAGTCTAGAAATGTTGAGAAATGTCATTCCGTGTCAAGAAACATCTGGAAGGTTCGAAAATGTTCAAGAAACCTATATAAGTCGATGATCCTGCTCTCAGGGTTTCAGTTCTTGCCTTTCCAACTCTACTCTAGCTTTTTCTTGTTGTTGTTTTAAATTAGCTTTTAAATTCTCTTGTTGCTCTTAATTAATTTTTAAATTCTCTTGCTGATGGTCTGAAAGATCTACTTAAATCTTAAGCCGACTAACCTCTTGCTTGAAGGTTTCCTGGATTTGTAGCAAACCATTCATAATTTCCACCGCTTCTTTTATATGTCTCTCCTCCTTCCATTTTTTTCCTCGTTTTTCCTGCGCTTTTCATTTTCCTCTTCTTCCTTCCTGCGCCTTTTCTTTTCTTCTTCTTCCTCTTTCCTGCGCCTTTTCTTCTCTTGTCGCCTTTCTCTTTCCTCTTCTTCTTCCTTCCTGCGCCTTTCTTTCTCCTCGTCCATCTTCAAAAACCATGCTGGGGGAGTATCCATGCCTGTTTTGTACTCAGTGGATCTAGTATTTACCATCAACAGAATATTTAGGTACTTTTTATTTTGGATTCCACCGCTGTCACCAGTGTCACCACTATTACGCTGGTTAACTTATACAACTACAAACTAAAATTCTAACGTCTGGATCATCGACTTATATTGCTCCCTTGAACCTTCTCAAACCTTCTCGTACCGTATAGATGTTTCTTGACACGAAATGACATTTCTAGACTGTTCCCTCTTCTTTTATTCGTATTTATGGCAACCGCAGCACACTGTGGGGTGACATTGCACTTCTCCTTTTATTCGTACATTTTCTATAATAGTCGCAGGCTACTTCAGGGTGCAGGGTAACAATATTATACTTAAATAATTTGTAACGACTCAGTATTTTTTAATTTCGAATCTAGTAGGCACGTGACAAATTTTAATAGTTCGTGTATTTGAGAAGATCTTGCTGGATCAAATTTGAAAAAAATATTTAAAGATGTTCTTGATTTATGAGAAAGTTTAAATTTTGATTTAAAACTCTTCACATCCTGTATCTCGGTAACTAAGCCCTTTAAGAGTTCATATTTCTATATCAAAATTCATTAATTAACGAGACCTCTCAGGAGTGGAGCGTTATCGGTCGAATATAAAAATGACTAACACATAATATTCAAGGTAATTTTTGGCTTGTTTAAAATAATAGTTACTTACGATTCCTACAACTGTGTGTAACGGACTATACTCATTGCAAGGTCCAATTGGTTCTTTCAATCCTGTAGAAACTTCGTCTTCGGGGTTGAAAAATATCGGTATGATCAAAAATGTAATATAATGTACCACCAAATGGAATAGAAGTAACCATGAAGACCGGTGCGTTTTGGGGGTCACATTTTTCAGATCTTGCGCTGCTTGACGGTCACCGGACCACGTAATAATGAGGAAAATGGCGAAAATAATGAAAAATGTTACTTCACTGTGGATGTTGTGTACATCGTGTAACGGATGATAGACCGCCATAAAAGCTATGATCCCCGTTGGGGCCCCTAAAAGGGCTGGGAGCAGGGTACATATTAATTCTTTTATGATGCTGAAAAATATAAACAAAACTATTAAATACTCGTATATAAATATTAATATTGGGAAGATTCAATGTCATGAGAGGTATTAGACAAGTAGATCCGTTACCTAAAATGGTGATTAACTAGAGTTTAGAAAAAATCTCTTGGGGCTAAGCTAGTCTAAGATACTTTTAGGTGAGTGGAACCCACGGTTCGTAGACAACACGGTGGCCTCTTCCGTCCGTTGCTAAGGAAGGGTCTGACGTCACGAAATGAAAAATCGAGCTGACAGAAAATATTCCGCTGTGGTTAGAACAGAACAGAAGTTTTTTAAAAAATCTAATATTTTATTAACCGTCTAAAAAAAGGAAGAGGTTCTCAATTCATCGCGATATTTAAAAAAAAAAATTTTTTTTATGTATGTTCAGCGATAATTCTTCAACACGGTGTCCGATTTCAATGATTCTTTTTTGTTATATACATTTGGTTAAGATGTGGTGATGGCATCTGCACGTTTTTGAAGTCGGTTTTTTTTTAATTTTTAATTTCTAATACTTGTTATTTAGTGGTGTTTATATTTTTATTTTTGGACTATACAAATTTTCAACTAGGTTACTTGAAAATTTTTTAATATTAATTTCTCAATAAGTTCCACGGTTTACTATATATATTTTATTGTATAAAACAAAATCTAAATATTTCAAAAACCTTATTTTTAGTTTTTTTCTACTCCATCTAATCAATAAATAATAGTATAATTCGAGAATTGTTGTTAAGGACTTACTTTCTCGTGAGGCACTGTACAAATACTCACATTTAAAAAAAAATTCTCAAAAATTTGCAAGGTAAGGTATAGATAAAATTTCAGTATTAGATAAATAAGGACTTCAACTATTAGAAAAAAATTAATTTTAGTCATAATCTAATAACTTTTTTTTTAACATTTGAGACGAGAGGTGTGGCGAAAGGACCTCCTTAAATAAAAAGTAATTCATTTGTATGATTTTTCCTTGCTGTTTTGTAGCTCGTTTTTGAAAAAATCAAACTACCAATATTATAAAAACTCTAACACCCAAAGCTCCTCTATTTACATTTAAAACCCGGTCATACATTGCAAAGAAACGTAGCGCGTAGCTATTTCGTAAATGAACCGACATGCGTTTCCTGGTGCGCTGTTGTCAGGCTGTGTAGTTTATCCCTTTCATATTTAAAAATAGTTTTTACCTATAACTCACTAATAGCAACAAGTTTTATTAATTAGAATAGTTTCGAGATATATTGCAACACAGCAAGCGTCACCACCAATTCATTTTCGTACCTAGTGCAGTGTTTCCAACTCCGACTCATTGTGGGCCGAGATGTTGCAATATTTCCCGAAACATTTTCAATAGTAAATCTCTAAATAAAATTACTTGTAACAAAACAAAAACGTATAAAATGTGTACAAAGTAGATTAATCTAGTTTAACTGCTTTCAGCAGACTTGATATTTTAGCAGCACCTATTTTTACACCATTAGGCAGGGCATTTTTGTACCTATTGTTTTTACATACATACGCTTGCTAAATAACAACTTTGCAAATACTAAGATAAACTATGGCAAACACCATTATTATTCCTGCAAATAAATGGATTTAAAAAGCGTTAAACGTGACACCACCGCAATTTAAAATAACTTTGTTTCATTCATACTATACGTCATACGTATAGTATTTTATCCATCGATAGTTTGCGACGTTGCGATCCAGTAAATTGTTGCATATTGGGTGTTTTTGTTAATCTTTAGACTTTTTTGGAAAAATTTCGGCTTGTGTATAGTTAACAACATGGTTCGCGAGTGCATTTTGAGCCAAAAACTGGAAAATGTGGGTGCTGAAGTATCTTTTCATAAGTAAGTAAGGTTAGGTGATGATATATTGCATAGTTCAGTAGTGTAGATTTAAAGATTTTTGTCGGAATATCACATGTATGATCTACTTTTATATTACTAATATTTTTTTTGATCTTTCAACACTAATTTCGCAAAAAATTGTAATTAATAGAAACACTTTAGTTTGGATTATAGTGGTAAAATAAATATGCTTATGCTTGATTTTTAGATTCCCAACTGAAAGGCATACAAGAAATATTTGGCTATTACTTGTAGGACTTGAAGAAAATGAAGGTAGGTATCTAAAAAAGAGTGTTATGCTTGGAGCACTGCCAACACTAAGTTCATTGTTTCGAGAAAGCTCATTTAGGTAACTAAAAAATTTCTTAATTATGTTTCGGAAATGTTTATCCTTTAAGATGAAAATTGGTAGTTCATCTTACAAAGAAATTTTTATATTGTAAGTTCTTTAAATTTTGTAGGTGCTTAACAAGGACAAAGTTTTTTATAAACTCATATTACGTGCCTCTTTCTTTGATTATTTTCATGAACTACCATATTATTAATCAAAATGTATACTTACCTTTACATTAAAAGTTCTGAATACTCTGTTACAGCTCTAATTCCAGTATCAGTATTTTTGACAGCTCTAGTAAGAAACCAGAAGATAATTTATCTATGCCGCACACATATTTATGGATGATAATAAGTAAGTTTACTGCCTAGTTTTACAAGTTAAAAACTATCAATGGATAGATTTATTGTTGTACAGTTCTACGTGTTTTTTTGGATTTTACAAAATTCTTATTACCAGATCCGCTATAAGAAGCGTTCCATTTAAAATCCCCACCTTGTATATAAGTATCGTAAATTTATTGAGTTAATAACTTTTATAAATTTAGTGGTGTTAAAAATCTAAATTTTTATTTAAAAATCTCTTATTTACCAATTTGTAAAACTGTTCAAATTTTAACCCCAAAATTGAATTCGTAAATTTGTTTAAAATAAATATTGATTTATTTATCTTGTTTTTATTTTATTTATTTTATTTTATTTAACATCTTTATATATAATAAATGTATTATTCTTGGAAAAAAATAGTTTTTTTAAGCTTTTTTATCTACATTCCACTGAAATTCATACCCTTATACCAAATCCAATCGGTTTTAAAGTTTAAACCATTATAAAGTTTATTGCACACCATATCGGTTAGTATTTCATTATTTTTTTATAATTAGTTATGATTTTATCTTTAATAAGATACGCCACTGGTATTAACAGACTTTTAGTTGCGTACAACAGCAGCTTTGCCAGACGAGATTTTCTTTCAATCCGCATAAAATATCTTCTTTCTCTTTTCCGATGATTGGAACCAAACAAAACATACTTTATGAATGAAATGCATCATCTGTTGTTTCTTTTATCGAAGCTAACACCAGTAAAAATATAAACATCAATAAATAACAATAAAATATTAGATTTTTAAAAAAACTCTTGTACCTACGACCCCAAGTAGAATATTTTCTGTCAACTCACTTTTTCATTCCGTGACGTCATTGCGTCCTTAGCAACCCTGAGAAGGCCATCGTGTTGTCTACGAAGCAGAAAATATCGAAAATCTGTACAGCAAAGACGCCTAGTAACGGAGATCCTTACCTGACATTGTCGACTCGAACCACACCTTAGTTAACTTGGACTAGTAAAAGATAGTGAGTGCATATTATGTGAGGAGCAGGACAAATCCTTCCATAGATATAGAAAGAAACATCCATTCATATTCTGACTGAATGTGTTACACTTAGGGTTACTAGACGTCACGCTTTAGGCGTATTTTCCTCGCTTTTTGACTTGTACGCTCAACGCCATAGTACGAAAATGGCACGCTTTTTAATATTCAAAGCCGTAAATAAAAAAGAGGAACTTAATTTATAGAAAAATATAAGGTGAAGATCTTTTTTAAATTTCAGAAATAATGGACATGATTATATAAAAATGCTTAGTATTTGAACCTGATGCTCTGTCGACACGGTTGTCACGTTTTTCACTTTCGTAAATCTGGCAACCCTAGTTACACTGAATAATCCAAGGTCACTAGACTAGGGAGCATACCAAATAGAAGAGGGCGATGTGCCCAGCACTTCACATCCTAAACTTCCTTGATAAAATAGAATGAAAAGAGTCGTTATATAGACATCGAGACTATTCCTTTGATGCCTTAGTAACAGACGGAGGCACAAGAGATCTTTTAAGACGCAGTGTATCTGATGTCCCATAACATAAAATTTATTAAGGTGCAGTAGTTAAAAATACTATCACCCATATCACCAACAATATAGTCGCTATCTATTGGAGAGAATCTCATCAATTCCATAAAACAATGGCAAACGATGACGAGGAACATATCGCTACATTCATTCCAATACCATGTATGGGTAATAATAACGTTAGAGCGAGACGAAAAAATTACGTGTTATTAGAACATCTTAGTAAGAAAATCTGATCCGTGCTATTTAAAATTTATAAATATGTAAGTTAACTTATTATCTCCCGAGGGTTGAGAGCCTACCGGGCGCGTCTCCGGGTGGTGGATAGGAGGACGGTCAGAGTATCTGGCTAGTGGCAGCTATAAGTAGGGTGAGGGGACTTAAAAACCCCCAAAATCTTTTGCGAAAACTGTCGCCGCGAACCAACTCCCCAAGTTAAGGCGTAATGCGACCCGTGCCGAGGACTGAATGATACCTGGGTCAAGGTATCGCAAACGGAGCCTCTGGGACACCGGGTCACCTCCCAGAGTATCGCGACTCGCGACCTTACTGCGGCATGCGGGGCTCTGCCGTGGCGGACTGTTTTTCCCTAGCTACTCGTGGGATCAGATATGAATTCTAAAAACAAAAACAAATGCGAAATGCAAGAAAAGGCAACAGCGTCAACCTCGAAAGGGGATACGACGAAGGCAACGTCTCTGGCGAAGGCTGAACAGCTAGCAAAGAGGCGTAAAGTCATCGTCTCCTCCCTGGAAGAGGTAGACCAAATGCCCGAGGACGAGGTACATTCTGCCCGTCTAGGTGGACACTCGAGGTCAAGGCTAAAAGAGCTCTTGAAAACTGGCCTTGATTACACAGCCGCAAAAAGGCAGGTGATCAAGGAAAATTTTCAAAAG